ATTTTACTTAATTGTTTATTAATTTTTTTTTTCAAGATCGTGAACTTTATGAACAAAAAATATAGACATTGATTTTTAAATTAATCTATATAAAAATGACAGTTTTTAAGTGTATGTTAAATACTCCAGTCATTAGTTTTAGGACATAACATAATGGCTGGATGTGAACCCTAAAAATCAGTGGGCATGTAGCAGGATCAATAACAATGCAAAGTTTTATAAATCTTTGAAATCAGATAAATTTTTTTTTTCAATATGTCAGAACTTGAAAACTTACACACATTATTCAATATCTAATGCATATCCATTTAACTTATAACATACTTATTTAGATAGAAATGAGTTCAATAATCTTCATTTTCGATTTTGTTCTATTTTAATCAGATATCCTTAAAGAAATTTCATTCAAATTCACAGATATATCAAGGTTTTAATATCAAATTCCCAATTATTTTATTTCCGAGGCATTTTTAATTAAAAAAAAGATAACATTTGGCTTTATAAACATTAATATATTTGAAAAATGATATTTACATAAAATGATTTCTCTCAATGAAATTTAAAAATTTCTTAATCGTTTTAAAAAAATAAATTTATGAATCCCATTTCTTATACTCCATTCCATCTGGTGGACGAACCTCAACCTTCTCTTTGCCCACCTCGTTCCAATTTGTGCTAAGTACTGTACCACCTGATTCCATCTATAAAATAAATGAATTTTAATTAAACATTGTAATACATTATATAGAGATTATATTATATTACTGCTTATATAATTGCTTTATCAATGTCATACTTTTAAACCAAAACTACCTTTTATTCACTAATTCATTTTTACATTAGAGCAACTTTAGAATAAACCACTTATAAAATTTCAGCAGTGCTACTACCAAGTTTAAAGGTTACATTTTACTATCAATCAGGTTTATTTTAATTGCTCTCTACCAAGATAATTCATTCAGCACAACTCCTCCATTATCCAAGATACCAGATATATATAAATACTTTGAAATATTTAGAAAATACAGCGATCTATATGTAATCAGTGCAAAATACGAGGTCTGTTCAAAAAGTTTTCGTAATTTTCGTTTTTTCAAAAAAATATTTATTTATTCGTCTACATTAATGTGGTCCCCTTCAAAGTAGTCCCCCCCAGATATAATACACTTATGCCAGCGTTTTTTCCAATTTTCGAAGCACCCTTGATATTCACTTTTGATATGTCCTTGAGCACTCTCGGCGATTTTCTTCAATCGAGGAAAACCGCCGTCCTTTCATGGGTCTCTTCAACTTGGGAATAGGAAAAAGTCACACGGAGCCATATCTGGTGAATTTTTGCACTTTGCAACACTTTATTTCATTTTTTACGCAAAATTTAATACAAATTCTTTGACTTTTCAATTCTTCCATTGTAAAAATCGCCGAGCTCAGAAAAAACACGTCGAACCTTAGCGACTACCACAGACAAAGTAAACAGTGAATATAGCTGAAAATTTCATCATACTTTAGGGGCATGTATACCAACACAATAAAAAAAAATTTTGACAATCAGACACTCCAGACCCGCGAAATTTAATTATTAGTAATTCCGGGTACTTTTTGAACAGACCATGTATACATCTAGACCTTATACAAAAGTTTGCTGAAGATTCCATTTTAACATAGAATTATTTATAAATATAAATACTTACAAATGACTTGTTCATAGCTCTGCGAACATCTTCATTGCTTTCTCCATAAATTTTCTGGAACAAAGCATTCAGAGCAGCATCACCTTCCGGTTTCTCTTCTTCAAAGTCCCTTGCAATTTGTTCCCATTTCTCATTTGCTTTGGTAGGGTTGACTGGTTTTGGTAATTCTAAAAAAATGTTAAATGCACTTTAAATAAAAATTGTATTATTGTATCAAAAGCAAAGTATATGTGAAATTTCATTGATGATATACCTGCATCTGCTTCTAATTTTTCCCATCTTATGCCCATTGCTTTTACAAGTTTCACTTCTATTTTTGATGGAGTCACTTTATGTGTGCAATATATAGGTACTATGCCATTTAAGAGTCGAAAATCCAGTTCATTTTCTTCATACTTAACATGAAGCTAAAAATTTTTTTTTATAAACTAGAACTAGTGATAAATAAAGTAAATCCATTGATAATAACTCCTTGTCAAAATCCTTATAAAATAGATATGATTTAAAATATCAAGCAACTTTAGTTTGTGTTGATCAATTAGTTTGGTCAATTTATCATATCTAGTTGTATATTTCATTCAAATAAAAGTAATTTCAGAGAAAATATTTTTTCAGTTCTTCCATTCTATGAGAGCTGTTATCCATACTATAGAATTATAAAGCTTATTATAGTTTAAGTTACGATTCATATAAATTTTTACCATACATTACTGTTCAGAACAACCACATTTTTAGAGTCAAATGAGTAGCAATATATGCCTTTGTTCTAAACATGTGTCGATTCTATTTTTTATAAAGTATTGATGTAGTACTTACAGATGTTGATCCATAATCAATCTTTAATTTTGATTCATCCACGTTCTTTAACAAAATAGTGACAGTGACATCGGTTTCTGTTTGATACCAATCATGTCTTATTTTTGGTTTAGCCTATTTAAATAAATATATAATTCTAGTTAAAGCTATACATAGATCATAAAATATGTATCAAAAGTATATGAATAAAAATGATATATGTATCATTTAAATAGTGGGGCTCTTGTGTTGTATGAAACACATCACATAGGAGAGTACATTATATAGCAATGCAATATTCATTTATGGTTTTATCATTTTAATTATGTATTAACTATGTTTTAAAATTATATTAAATAAAAAATAATAATACTACTACAAATTTGGAATCAATTATCTGTACAATAAACTACGACGTACCGCTGTTTTAGTCTCAGTGCTAGAGTTTTGCTCTTCACTCATTTCTTTTCTTATTAATATGATTAATTTATAGATTTAAATATTTATTTATATATACAAAGTTTATTTAAAAATAGAATCTACCTAAAATATGTCGTTTGTTTTTTTATGACATATGTCAAATATGCGGATAAAAATAACAGCATATTCAGGATTTTTACCTTCATGTAAAAGATTGGAAGGTTTGTAACAAAGATAAAAATAACAGCATATTTTGGATTTTTACCTTCATGTAAAAGATTGGAAGGTTTGTAACAAAGATAAACATGGTTGTCATATTGTAGGCGCTAAATTCAAATTATTTAAAATTTCATATTTGGTTATATATTGTACGTCTGTTTTATTTAATAGACTTTTTCAAGAAGTGTATGATTTTTCGCAAAAATACTGAATCGATTTTGAAATTTTGTAAATCATTCGAAATATATCAGTAGGGAATCGAGTTGATTAGATTAGTTAGAATCCGATGTGGATTTTTTAGTAATTAATTATTGAAAAAAAAATTGGTTCATATATTACAATCCGCGAAAAGTAGTTTTATTAAAAAATTGATTAAATTCAATGATCCTTGTCAAAATTTTAAAAATATATTATGACAGTTTCAAAGTTGGTAATTTAAAATCTTATTGATCAAGTTAATTATATACGCACATATCTGCAAATTTTTGCAACTTACCTTAAGGCAAATGCATATTACACTCAGTTTAGTTTTAATTCTAGCAAAAAATAGTTTTCAACAGTTAAACCTTAATAAACGTCACTAGAAAAGATATAAAATTTCGTCCTTTTTAAAAATCCATTAATATGCATTCATCGTTAAAAAAAAACTCATTAACTTTCCTTAGGGTAAGTTACAGTAATTGCAGAAAAAAATAAAATGGATTTTTTTTATATCTTTACTTTTCAAAGGTTTCTTAACATTTTGGCATACCTTAGAAAAATAAATAAAATTATTCTATGTGTGTGTGAGTGTGTTCGGATACAAATTTCTGTCAGGTTGAATAATTCAAAAGCATGCGATTTGTATTGATAAAGAGACGTGCTGATTAGTTTTTGGCAAAGGCAAAGGTCTAACCGTTTCAAAGATACGGGGAAAAAAGTTACAAAATTGATGATTCAGTTTTTGTGAGAACGGAGCGTCTGATTTCAATAATAAAACGAAGAACTTTATGAATTTTAAGGAAGGCAGGTCCTGTGGTTACTGAGATTAAATGAAAAAAACTTAAAAAATGCCGTTTGGTGATCAAAAATTTTGATGGGACATATGCACATCAGATATTTTAATAATAACAAACTATGGCTTCCGTACCAATGTTTATCCGTTTGAAAAAAATTAAAAAGTTACAAAATAATTCAAAAGCTTAATTTTTTCAAAGTTTTCAAAAATTAAAGCGTTTATAAAAAGTTAAGTTTTTGGTACGGAAAGTTTCAACAATTAGCCTTAAGGCACGATACCATGCACCACTAGTTTTCACTTTTTTTTGACTTCTGAAAATAGTTGATTTAAATATATTTTAGATTTTATTCTGTGCCTAAGAAAAAATTTAGTCCCAGCACTTATTAATTTTAATATAAATTTTGCTAAAAAAATTGTTATAATTAAAATAAATGGTCAAAAATAACATGGGGAAAGTACTGTACTTTATACACTGTAATAATACAGTCTGTATTATTTTCTACTACTTACATTTGAATGATTTAAAATTAAATTTATATTAAAAAAGTAACAGTTTTGATCAATATTATTTATTTTGTGCTTTACTGTTTTGTTTGCGGCATTATTTCTATGGCAACTGAATTGAAGTCCATCTTGTAAAGAAACGAAGATTTTAGTAAACCTATATAACCTACATACATTTTTACTAGAATATTACCATTTAAAACATGTGCTTTTGAATTAGCTTTAATTTTATATGTATAATTTGTTGAATGACATTTCATATGACAAAACATCATGTTTTATAGTCACACTTTCTAATTTTAAATTATATTTTTTTATATTTTTGAGAATACAATCATAGTTATTTTTATAATATATTTATTCAGTAAAATAATATGGAGTTATTTCGAGTGGATTATGCTCTGGTGGGTATGACCCATCCGCACACCATGATGTTGTTGCCACCAGCAAACGCCCAAATTAATGAAAAGCAAAAAATTGCAGTCGGAGGGCAAGATGGGGTCTTGCAAGTGTTTGGATTAAATAATGATGATATCGAGGTATGACGTTTTATTAAAATTGTATAAAGTTTTTTTATTATTTTATTGGCTTTATAAACTGGTACATTAGCCATATACTAAATTACATAATATTGTATAAAGTTACTACTAAAATTCAGATGCTTATGCAAATGCAAGTCAAATCTTTCATAATTCAATTTTACTTTTATTATTTTATTGTATTAACAGTCCTTAATAACTTAATTTTACTTTTGTTATTGTATTATATTAGCAGAGCATTTTTGGATAGATTTATGGAAGGAATTATTAGAAAATTTCCAATTTGAATATTGTCGATTATTCACATGCTTAAGATTGTAAAAATTATTTTGCTAATATTATAATTTATTAAAATCTTTTGAAACACTATGCACTCATCAAAATCTTTTCTGAGGTAAACTGAAGAAAAAAGGCATTCTTATAAATGTCCAAATACAGGATTAATCTTTTTTTTAATTTTATTTGTCCTCACTTACTCTGAGCATTTAACCACCTACAATATTTTATTTTATTTACATCATATACTATTTTTTATATCATATTCAATCTTATATATCATATTCTATAGAAATATAGAATAGAAATAACTAGTTATTTCAATTATTTTCTTCAATTTCTTTATTCTTTTTCATTCTTAATTCTATTCAACTCATATCTTCCCTTCAATTTTATTTCTTCATTCTTCTTCTAATCTCAGCGAGTTCTAATAGTTTTTCTTCTTTGTCCTAATACAACTCAGCTATCCGAATTCTGTAATTTCTATTCTTACTCATTTTTATTCAAATTCTACTTGACAAATCCAATTCTATTTGATTTAAAATTAACTCTATATATTTTTTTTTCTTAAATTCTAAGTCAATGACAGGATTCGATCCAAAGAACCTTGTCGTGAGAGTCGAACACGCAACTAATTGAGCTATGCTCGCCACGGATTAAAATATATCCTTAAATTCATATTTGCTAATTAATATTCAACCCTTTTGCAACGAGTGTCCGTTTTGCAACCTGTGTGTACGAATGTCATCTATAGACGACATCGTGTGTGTCGACTTTAGTTTCAAGAATTATCGCTCCAAATTAAATTATTGAGAAGTCTAATTTGTTATTGTAATATTTAGTTCTTCAAAAGTGTAATTTTAAATTGTTAAATATATTTTCACTGATAATGAATTAAATATGCTGAATGCTGTGTAAAAAATACTTGGGCGGCTTGCTAGCTCTTATAGTAATGTCACAGCGGAAAATTCTTTTGTTATGGGTTAAATATATATTTATATTTTATTATTTGTATTTAACAAAAGTGCATTACAGGTAACATTTAAAACCATTCCTGGTCCTGAAGTTACTTCTATGCAATTAGGAGGAGCGCTTGGTAAGAACTTGAATTTTTTTAATTATTCAGTTATTTTCACTTATACAACTATTTTAGGTACTCCAGCTGATAAAATTTTTATAGCATCAGGCAATGAGGTCAGAGCTTTCACAAAACGCGGAAAACAGTTTCTTGGCTTTGATACTAACCTTACAGAACCTATAAGATCTATGTAAGTTGAATTTTTAAAGCTAGTAATTTTAGTTGTTATCAAATTGATAATAAAAAATGGTATACCGCATAATGTTAATTTATAACTTGAAAACAGTAAATTGAATTATTAGGTTTGTTAGTGGTAGCGATCTTCTTGTATGTGGAAATCATATAATGGGTCATTTCAAGGATTGTAAAGATGCTGGAACTTACCTGTGCGGCGACTCCATAGTGGATGTGGTTGCTGTACGTCCAGACCTGGTAACCAAAAATTTCATCATTCATTTATACATTTACGTACCTATATTTTATATATACACATATATTTTAGAAATTTTCATCTTTTTTTATGTTTCATAGATTTTAATAATTGATCATTATTTTTTCTCGTGGTCTGAAATATTTACTTGTTTATTATTCACAGAACTCGCCCCGTTTAACAGTTGTACTGGCATGTTCTGGAAGAGCTCTACGGGTTTTAGAACATTGTCGTGTCTTGTCGACATTAGAAACTCCAGCTGTACCTACATGTCTCCAAGTTGTTCCTAATTCATCAGCTGTTCTATGTGGTATGACTGATGGAACAATCTCGTGGTTGTCTTTAGATGGGTAAGATGTCTTAATTTGAAAAAAATGATGAGTTTAAATTATAAAATATTGAAAATGTGTTTATTAGTATACTCTTTAACATGCCGCATTTGAATTTTAAAATCTTTTGCTGCCCCTATGTACAATAAGTTTGCACTTTAGAGAAGATTTGTAATCATTCTTTTTATTGGTTAAATGGTATTTACATTGGTGAATATACGAGTATAATTTTACTGATTATTATATGTTTAAGTATTTATCACTATTATCAGTTTCAATTACCTTAAATTTGACAGAAATCAAATAGTATTGGTTTAGGACTAAATATTAAATTCTCAGAATAGATGTAAATTATACCACTTTGGTGCCACTTTGGAATGCTATATTAAAAATAACTATAGGTAAAATACAAATTTCATATAATATATAATTATAATGGTAACCTTATAAGGTGACCATATTGTTTTAAGTCAAACCAGGACGGTAAATTTTAGTCCTTATAAACCGGGGGGATTTTGCTAATTTTAGTTTTCTTTATTTTTTTTTAATTAAAATTACTGACTTTTAGTAGAAACTTTATTATTCGATTATGTGTTATACTATTTCTTATATAAGATTTTCAGATATTTGATAAGTAGTTGTAATTTTATTATCAAGTAATTGCGAAAATTTAATTGATTTTTGAAAACCCTGGACAATCCGGAATAAATATTTCTTTTAGAACACAAGACGGAAATCCGGGATTGTCTCGGGTTCCCGGGTAATAGGATATCTAAGAAAATTATGAGATCCTATCACAACACATTACTACTCGAAGAACCATATAAACTTGCATATATCACAGATACGTTTAAAAGTTTGAGTTAAATTCCGTATTCTTAGAAATCCTAACTTAACCTTTCTTAACTACTGTAGATATAAAGATAGGCTAATTTGGGCTAATCACTATAACGAAAAATTATATATTCTTCCAACTTGCCATTACCAGGCGAGCTGCCTTAAGTCCATTTGTCGAAACTACTGGTGCATCAGTCACCTGCCTAGATGCCAACTTAGATCCTGATGGAGGCGGAAACAGCACATGGAAATTGTTAGTCGCCAGATTGGATGGCACTATTCAAATATATAATGTCAGCTCAACGGGATCTTATGACGACCAGCCTGATTTAGCATACTATGCGGTAAGTAAGAAATATAAACAATTATTTCTTGGCTTGAATGTAATAATATAAAAATGACTAATTTTGAGTAGAACGATGGCATTTTATTAAAAGATATGATTCTTTTTAGAATGTTAACGAAGGAGTTTCGTCCCTAAGAGGTGGTATTGTAGGAAATTATGGAAAATCTGAACTGATAGCCTGCACATTTTCTGGTAGAATAATTGGACTTACGACCACGCCACCCACAAGTACTATTGGAACTAGCAGCGATATCAGTGGACTCAATGCAAATGACAAACGAGCTGAAAAATTAAAGTGAGATCGGTTATTTAAATATTAATTTTATTTTTCGAAATATCATCAGTTTTATCAAATGCAGCTAGTGTATTTGTTAAACCAGAAATCATTTATTAGCTTCTCAACAAAATTGAGGAATCGTTTCATTTGCTTGAATATTCGAAAATTGTAATTGAATTGATTTAATGGATTATTAGTATAGTGGTATAAGTTTGTTTAATATATTATTATAATTAATAAATTTAATAGGTTAAATATATTTAATACAATATTATTGCTTTAGGGCAGAAATAGCAGAGTTAGAACAGAAGGTATCGCGTGAAAGATCTCGCTACCAAGCATCAACTCAATCTAATTCCCTAGGAACTTCATCAATACCAGCTTTAGAATTACGGGATATGGTAATTATAAAAATTTAGTAGTATTGGTGCATCTAATATAGATCAAAATATGATTATACATATTGATTAGTTAGTGCTATCCCGAGAAGACGCATCTTACTCATTAAGTTTAGAAGCTCCTACAGCTTTGGATTTTGTTCTGGTCCAAAGTGATGTTCCTATAGATTTACTTGATTCGCCGGATACTACTGCTGTTGTAAGCAAGAGCGAATGCGAACCTGGGGTAAGTAATAAAAGATATAAATTAATAAAAAAACATTTTCAGACAAAATCTTTTCGTATAATTCAATTTTATATCTACTTGGATAAAATTTTTATACAGGGTTGAAACATATAGCATATGATAATGAACATGATAAATCTTTTACGGATTGTCTAGGGTTTTTGAAAATTAATTAAATTTTCGCTGTTACTTGATAATAAAATTATAACTAATGAACATGATAAATCTTTGGTTTTTATTTGATTATTTTATTATTAGTTAATGTAAACACAATATCATTAGTAAATATAGTTTAAAGAAGTACGGCATTTCATAAATTCTATAGATAATTTGAAGTTGAATTTATATGATACAAATTATCAATATCAATCGTATTGAATTGTGAATTGTGAAATGTGAAATGATTTGTATATGAATTTCAGAGTGGAAACTTTCTATTGGCTACTTATAGATGCCAACTAAATACGACTCGTTTAGAAATAAGGTAATATAACAATAATTAAATCAATTAATTTATAATAATAATTAATATCGCATAATTTAATCGTTTCAAATTTTGTAATATGATATATTTAACCAAAATTTTGAAAATACAAATATTTCTAAAAATTCGAAATAATTTAATATAAAACTTCTGAACCCGAAAAATATTGTTTTTAGAAAAATCTGGTCGCAAGGTTGTAATCAGGGACTGTGAATTCGGAACGTACAGTTACCTTACTTGTATACGACATTTTCAAAAGATTTTTAAATTACTTTTCATATATTACAATATTGCAATATATTTGCAACTGCAATATATTTTTCTTTAATTTTCTATACTTTTTTTAATGCTTTCTTTGATTTTCTATTTGTATTCAGGTTTCGCACAATGGAAGGTCAGCATGGGTATCTAACAGTTCATGTTACACCATTATTACAACCGAAGTGTTGTCAAATAAGAAAATATCTCATAAGGCCATTAAGTTTACATACTAGGACTCACATTCCACCAGACGATGACAGGTAATTTTTATAAATAAAATCTGTATAAACATATAACTACATTGTAATCTGTGCGTACAGTTTTTTTAATATTTCAGCAGTAGTTTGCAAAACATAATTACTTCCCAATGTCCCTGAAAAAACTGCAAATATACTTGAAGTGAATATCTCAAAATGTTTTTAAATTACTGTTGTAGCAAAAAACTTAATAGATCATTTAAGTGAATATGAAAAAGTGAACTTTATAGTCATGTAAGGTAAAAAGGGCCAGGGAACGACAGAACTTGAAAATAGAAGGCCATGAATATATTTTATTATAATATTTCATGGATTCTTTCGCCATTATCCAATTTTTTGTTTGTCAATGCTAATAACCCTTGGCTAACCCCGTTCATAAAAGACATGCCTGAATTGGTATTTTTTGTGGTTAATCTTTTACCACATTTATTTACCTATTTATTTTTTTGAGAGAATTTTGTATTTGATAGGCCATACAATCGTTTGCATCTCCGCGGTCCGTTCAGTTTAGCAGAAATGCATTCCTGGCTAACTTATTGCATTCCGGAGGTACCAGAGAGGCCAGAAACTCGCGGTGCTGGTGATGATAGGGCCAGATATACGTTTATTTCGACACTTACAGGAACTGTTATAGATTGCGAATATGGGTGAGTGATTAAATATACATTTTTAGTGTTCAAACATACATATTCAAATATCATTCAATATATGATATTTGCTACAATTTTTTATTTATATAATTTTGTAATACTCGATTTGATGGCAAGCAAGATGTTTACTGAATATTTTTATATAAAACAAAATCTTATTTATAATTGCCATATTTGTTGTAGGAGAGGAGAGGCTGAAATTAAATCAGATAATATTTCGACAATAGCTGTACTCAAAGATATTCTTACTAAAGAAGCAACCAAAAAAAATATTAGGCTTGATATAGCTTGTAGTAAGTACCATTTAAATTTATTTATTATCATTATATGTATCATAATATGTTTGAAGGTCAGTTTTAAAAACATTAAAATAACTAAAATATCTTATAATTCGACATTGTGTAAAGATTTTATATCAATGCCATCAAATTCGTTCATTACTATCCGTTCTTTATTCTGGTCTATTTTTGTTTCTTTTATTAACTTTCCAAATAAGTAGTTTGTTTTTTCTACAAATCCAATTGGCGAATTTTATGTTTTCTTGTCGCTTTAAGTAACCTGAAATCCCTGGACACCAAACTTGGAAAAAGTTTGTGTGTGTTTTGACTCTTATACTCTTATTAGTCGACTTTTCCTGAATAACGAGTACACCGATTTTAAAAATTTAAAAGCCATTTGATGAAACTCGATCAGATTCATGGTGATTTTTTTACAACGCAAAAATCTTGAATCGATTTAAAAACTCACTTTTCGAAAGAAACTATAAAATATTAAATAACTTAACCCCGTGGTTTTCAACCTGTGGGGAGCGCCTACTCGGGTGAGCGTGATGCTGATGCAAAAATTTTGTGATGATACGAAAAAATGTCGATTAAATAATTATTTTTTATGTATATTTTAACCCTGCCCACTTGGATTCCGCCGCTCCGCCGGCAAAATTCATATAAATCTCGGAATTTGCGAGTGGAAAGGGTTAACATAATATTGCATACTAATTTCTAGTCTGCTAATTAAATTATAATATATAACAGTTGAGTATTTGTGAAACAATTTTTATCAACATTTTTTTACAAGAACTGGGGAGCGCGGTACTAAAAGGTTGGAAACCACTGAATTTGCTTTATTGCTGCATTTGTTTGACTACTATCTATCTAACAGATAATACATCCCAAAACGCTACAGAAAATTTGGGTATTTAAAAAATAACAAACTTAACATAAATATAAGTAGTATATAAGCAAATTGTCTACCAAAAGTTTTCGTACTAAAATGACAACGCAATCGCGCTGCGTTGCTGCTTACAGTTATAATATCGAAGCGCTAAGGCGCTGCGTAGCTGTTAATTGGTTACCGTTTGAAACAATAGGTAAAATAGAGCTGGTAAAAAGCAATTCGCATTGAAAGCCGATTATTTATATATATCAGGTTGTTCATGCAAATTGTCTTAAGGTTCTTACCTTCTTATAATGGTCTTACCTTCTTATCTATGGTTCCGGTTGCTTCCTGGGTTCGGTCTTAATTGAAATATTTCTCCACAACTGGTAACACTAAGCGTAAACATTTTTTATTCAGTTGCAACATTGCTGTCAACAGTAACGTGAAACAACATAACATAACCTTAAATGTGTGCTTGAAACATGAAAATATAACATTTATTTATTTTTTGTATGAATTGTATTGTGATTTGTAAAGTTTTTTTTTATATACTTTTATATACATTTTGTTGAATATAAACGATTTTCATAATGGAAGTTCACGAAGGTGATGTTGTTTTACCCGGTGATATAGCAGTTGACATACCAAAATGTGCATCCACAACAAAGGTCGTACTAGGTCCAGGTTTATACAATGAAAATGACACCGTTTTAATTAATAAATGTGGCATATTACGAAAAAAATCCCCAAACACATATTGGGTAGACTGTCAGCAGAAACGATATATTCCTAGTAGAGGTGAAACTGTCTTGGGAACTGTTGTAAATAAAGGAGGAGATGTTTTTAAAGTGGACATAGGAGCTAGTGAACATGCATCGTTATCATATTTAGCTTTCGAGGGAGCAACTAAAAAGAATCGACCTGATGTAAATATAGGTGATGTAATATTTGCAAAATTACTCATCGCAAGCAGAGATCTAGAACCTGAATTAGTTTGTGTTGATTCTCATGGGAAGAAAGGAAAATTAGGAGTTGTATCAGATGGTTTTGTTTTTAATTGCAGTCAATTTGGTTCGGAAAATCTTGAACCCCAAATGTCCCTTACTGAAAGCACTTGCTAAGGAATATCCTTATGAAATTGCAGCTGGTATGAATGGAAAGATTTGGATCAAAGCTAGAAGCACAAGAGAAACGATAGCAATTGCAAATGCTATTTTAGCAGCTGAGTTTGTTGTTGTGAAGAAGAAATTGTTAAAATGTGTGAAAATGTTGCTCTATCAGCAGCTGGATTTTAATTTTTTACTTTTTTATATTTTACATGTAAATATAATTACTATTAGTTTATTCTTTAAAATCTAAAATTCTAATTTATTAATTATTAAGACATCAAATGTAATATTCAAAATATATTACAAGAATATAAGCATTCATAACAAAACTTGGACTTAGATTATTTCTAATAGTGTATATTACGAATCCTAAATTTCATTATATATATTGCATACATTACAGAGAACTTCTTTATAACATTGTTGCTCGTGAGCAATATTGATTCTATTGAATTCAGTAATTTGTGAATGATTTCAATTATTGGCGTATTTTATAGAAGTTATACATAATTTTAGGTCACGTTTTAAGAAATTATTTGAAGTGTATGCATTGGTTAATAAGAACATGTGTTTTGGATATAATTTTTGTGCCTTATTTTATGAAAATCAGAAAATCTAATTTGAGTAACACAAATATGGAAAGTTCAAGCATTCTACATTAAAATGCTGTTTATCATCATTTAAATTTAGGATTTACAAATTGTTTTGTACACCCCAATGCCCTTATTTTCGCAAATTTAAGTGAATAGTTTATTACTATGTTGAGAATATGTTTTATGTATAAATATGTTATTCACTTAATTAATTACTATAAACTATTATTACTTACAGCAATCAATGATGATAGTATACCTCATACTCTAAAATTAATGGATGAAATATTGCATTCTCAGTTAGAATTAGTACGAAATATTGCATTATTGGATGCACTGGATGAATTAGATATTCGTAATGAGGATGATGTACTTGCTTTATCAGAGGAATTTAGAGATGTTTTAGAAAGGGAGAGTGAAATTCGAGAACAAGCTAAACGAAAGCCTGCCATTTTGGATCGTTTGTATGGTAATATAATTTGCTACTAATTTATTATATTAGGTTGTCAAATATCTCCCTTCCGCCTTTTTGAATAAAGAGTCTTTTGAATAAAGAGCAAAAAAGCGGAAGGGAGATATTTGAAACCTAATAATTTACATAATACTTCCACAACAAACATTTATCTTTAACTTCTTTTAAACAAATATTAGTATTTCTTTATTTTATTAAATTTTATATCACGTTGAAATTAATTTATTATAATTTTAACTCTTAAATAGCGTAATTAAGTTATGAAATTGATAAAAAATAATAAATATTAACGAAGTTTAGAATATGTGTAAATATATTTGCCGTGTTTCCCATATATTAATGATTTGATATATCATTGAATTTTTTGTAATCACTTAAAATCATAAGTTGTTTGTTAACGTTTTATTTTATCAACATGTTTTCATAACTTATGTCTACTATTTGATATAATCACTTCTGAAATTGCCACTATCTTAGCAATTGTTAACATTTATTTTTATAAAACAAGTATTTTGATAGCATAAATATAATTATAATTTATTTTATTTTTAAGGTATCATAACCGATTTGTATGTGGACCAGCATAAGTTTAAAGGAGTCACAGTTAAAAATAGTATATCATCATTAACAAAAATCTTGGATAAATATGATTTGAAAACACTGATTGACTTTTTTGAGGCACAAAACTAACCAATGCAACATAAATTGTATGTAAAGTATTTATTTGAAGGTTTCTTTTTGTCCAAATTTTTATTTTTATTTAACACATGTGAAATTATTTTCAATATATATGATAAAATAATTATAAATTTATATTATTTTCTTTAAAATTACACACCAATTGCCTTGATCATAAAAACTTTTTTTTACAATTATTCCTTCAATTTTAGTACATAATTGTTCTAATTCACCTTCTTGGAATACATGATAATATCGCAAAATATTGGTGGGTCTATTTGCTGACTCTGTTTAGATTCCTTTAACTTCCATGGGACTAACATATCTTGAAACTTGAATTCTGTTCTATTTTCGTGAATTGGAAGTTTGAGTACATTATTTGGATCGGTTTTCATTATCTTCTATTTTCAATTCAGCTACATCATCAATTTGATCTACAATTGGTAAAATAAAAATCTGGTATAAATTCATTAATTTTCATAATCTATACATATTATATGGCTTTAATATATTATATAAAAGCACTTTTTACTTCAAATTTTAAGTCTAGTCTATAGTCTATAGTTCATTAGATTTCAAAATATTAATTGTAATTCATTATAAAAAATAATTCATAAGATTTTATTGAACTTTTAATTCTTACCACAATTCTTTTTCAAATAGTTAGATTTTTTATTTTGTCGCGTTTGGTTTTTGGCCCATACATATATAAGAGCAACTCCATCCTTTTTGAGTATGCGAGCAATTTGTTGTATTGCTTGAATTCTTCTTTCCTGTAAGCGAATATTTTTATATTTTTTGTTTTTAATCAAATGATGTAATGAATTTTCTTTTAATGGTGATGTAATGATGTAATGAATATTCTTTTAATTTTAATCCAGAAATTTATAACAGATCCTCATTCAATTTTTTGTACTTTACCTCATTGGCTAAATGATGAATAACAGCTATACTAATTGCAGCATCAGCAATGTTATCACGAAATGGTAATGTAAGGCAATTGCAGGTGCAAACTTGAAATCCACGAGAAAAGCATAATGAAGAAAGATTTTCACTTCGATCGCAACCTATCTATAATTTTAAATAACTTTGCTTTCAAAACTTAATAATCTTGATGATAAATTAAATGATTTTTTAAAGTGACTTGAATAATTCATAACATTAGACTTTATTATCCAATTTTACCTGTACTATGCTACTTCCACTTTTAAAATATTTTCCATTTCCACATCCTACATCAATTAAAATTCCACCAACAGGTATAGTTTGTATGAATTTTTCAACATTAGGCCAAGGCTTGTGTCGTGTATCACTAAAATGTGATGCTATTTGTTCATATACCTTCAAAAATATTAATACAAGATTTCAATATCATAAACAAAACTATTTGAATAACAATAAGAAATAATCACAAGTGACAAAAGCAACTTTATATATTGCTTACACTATGAACATGTATCCTTTCCAAGTTTTCTGCAACATTTTCAAGTGTTACTTGTTTATCATTTAAAATATTCTGCTGACTATCGCACATTTTTTTATAATCACAATCACATATTGCATTCTTTCGAATAGTGCGAAATGTAAATGAAGTTCTAACAGAACGTTTAGAAACACTTAGACCATTTGTGGTTTGTATTACATCCATTGTTCTGGGCGTAATTCCATGTGTCCAATTATATCTAAGTAATCAAGCTGATATTTAATAAAATTGAAATAACTATTTAAATAGCATTTTGCAAATGAGTTTCTCTATTAATCATCACAATAAAATTTTGAACTATTCATGCATACCTAGATTCATTATCCATTATTAAAAGACTTCTTTGTGGTAAATGTACAGAATAATGTTGATTTAAATTGTTTCGGAATTCCATAACAACATCAGATCCTAAAGACAATGAATATATTGGGGACTCAAAAGCACTATGTGTATCAACATGGGGTGGTATTCCTAAAAAGAACTTTAATTGAATTAAATTTTTAAACTTAAAGTTGATGTAGCCAAAATATTTAAGAAACTAAAAAGAACATAATATTGATATAAAGGATATTTAGTGATCAAAATGTAGATCTAGGAAACTAATGTAGTTAATAAAGCAATATGTTTATTTAGTATAAATACTATTCACACAAAAAGATTAAATTATGAAAACAAGATTTAAAATTTAATAGATGGAATAGATGGTGCTCTAAAGATTCAATTAACTATTTTAGCATTATAATAGGAATACTATTGTTGTTTATTAATAAACTCGCCTTGTCCAGGTTTATACATATTAACAGTTAGTTGATCTACTTTATGAGGTACATCAATTTTCATTTCCTTTAACCTTTCCCAAATGATATCACATTGTTCAGGAATTTTTTCTTCTAGAGGTTTATTTCTATCTACATTGTTTGTATCATAATAAAACTCAAAACCATAATGTTTGACTTTACGGTGTTTCATTTCATCATTACAATTTTTATCCCAATCAATAAGTGATAGTAAATTAATTTCTTCTTGTGTGGTGACTATATCTTTTATAATTTTCAATCTTGGAGGTATCATATGGTACTCGTCATCAGTTTTAGAATCTGGTAAAGCATTTACATAGGAAAGGTATACAACTCCATCGTTCTGTCCAATAGTTAAAAGGCCATTTACTTCATTCATAGCTTTCTCAGAACTAGAGACGTCTTGGAATTGAATAAAACAAAACGATTGACCTGGTACCATAACAATTTTTGCTATATTTCCATATTTAGAAAAATTTTCAACAATACATTCTCGAGTTAAACCTGACACAAGTCCGGCATTGCAAATTACTATGTTCTGCAAGAAATTGAAGTATAAAATTATTGAACATTCCTCGAAAATCAAAAGTTCAAATGCTTACAGACTATTGTCTTTTTTTTATTAAAATCAAACATGAAATTAGTAAATTAATAATTAATTAATATGTTTCCTTCTTACAAAGAAAAGATTCATTTAACACAAATTTAAGAAGATTGTATCTATTTAATAAACATTATGTTTTGTTAAAAATGTATGTGAAAATAAATTATTATATCAATAAAAATGTTGAATTATTCTACATAAAACAGTATTGTTTATTTACATATAGTTAAATATTGTTATTTTTCATACCTGAGTTGGTGTAGTGCAAAAAGTAATATTTGTTGTATTTTCTATCAAATGTTGGGCACGTATTCGTTTTCTTTCGCATTTTTTCTTCTTGGATTTTGATATTTCAATCGACATTTTTTAATTATATTGTATTGTATTGTTTTATAATATATTTATAGAAATTATAGTTTTGAGGTTATTCCACGTTTTACTAATAATTTTACAAAGTTCATGTAGAATAATTAGAAGAGACAGTAATTGCTATAAAAAGTGAATGAAGGAAGATAAAATCAATAATCAGATTTTCTTATTATCATTTTGAAATGGTCAATTATAACTATAAATTATAACATTAACGAATAAGTAACAAATGTCATTTCGAAGAGGTTAATTCACAAACATGATATATTAAACGTTATTTAATAAAAATAAATTAGGTGAAGCATATAATCATCAATATATCAACTTTTGCATAACAATTATTTTGTTCAATTTCTAGGATTTTTGTTCAATTTTTTATTTCTTGCTTTTTTTATTCACATTACAGCAAATATATTAAAATATCTGTATTATATTGGTATAAGTATGTACAATTAGATTTATGGCGATCATATCAAATATACAGGTCATTTGACAAAAATTAAAGTTTAAAAATAAAAATGTACAATATTTAAATTTAGTTAATGTTCTTGATTTCAAATTGCGCGCTAAACCAAAGACGTGTCATGCTTGAAGTTAGACTTCACTGCGCTGCATTCGACAAACGCCAGTAGATGCCCCTTTCCTTCAATCATTTGTTTCCTGTCAATCTCACCTAATAACTTTTATTCATTTTTTTTAATACTTTAGTTGCCATTTTTAACCATTTAAAATTGTGTTCGTTCTATTTGTGTAATCCTAAATATTTTCAAATTATAATTCTAAAATTCGAAAACGTAACTTTATTTCATCCATTTTGGCCACACTACAGCTTCCGGAAGCAAACGACATTAGCCGATCAGTGACGAAGAGGCTTCTGTAACAACAAGCATCGGCCCGTAAGTGTTAAAAATTCCTATATGTTTAGTTTAAGGTTTAATTAAAATTTCTAGTTTAGTATAATTATAAATAAGTGCTAAAGAATCTTCGGTAAGTGGCAATCTATTGTGATCATTTGTGATGTGAATAATTAAGCTTCGGTTTTAGAGTTTATCGAGGGTTTCGGGTTTGGTCTTGTGCATGCGTCATGATGGGTTGGCTTTTTCCATTAAAATGTCGCATCCATAGCCAATCTTAGTTATCTTACACATTTATTTAATATATCTACTATTTTTACTACATATCGGTATATGTAGTCTTTGTAATTGACTCCATTGTTAGCCATTACTCATGGGTGATGTTTGGATTCTGGCTTTCATTTCCGTAAGAAAGTTAAATCATTCTATTTAATAATTTATACATTGGATGCATCGGCGTAAAGTGCAGTGTTACGGCCTTGAAATTATTATTAACCAGTTCACATCATGTTTTTCGTAAAATGTGCTAGATGTAAATTATATCTTCACTTAACGCGTGCATTTCTAAAAGTCAAACTGAGTAGCATCAATTATTTCATCCACGTAGTAAAACTATTCTATACCAATAGTAATTTATCATTTAACGAATATATGGGAGTGCTTCTTAAATTGTTACTAGCGTGTAACAAAATTTCCACTCTTATTAAGCTACTAATTATTTTAGCATTTTTTGCAGAAAGATATTTATAACCTATATAAAATATACATAGCGCTAAAGTGTGATGCTTCAATGAACGCCAAAATTTTTGAGTTGAGAGCCCGAAGTCATTTGCTTGTAAAGTGCATAGCAACTTCATTCATATGCAATATGGTCGTAATTATTTATTTTTCATTTAATATAAATATTTTATTGAAATAAACTTGCTATACATACTTATATATTTAAAATTAGTATCCAAATGATTGGAATATCATGAGGATTGTGGCTTTCAACCTGTGGGACGCGATTCCTCAGGGGGGAACACATCTGCTTTCAAAATACTATTATCAAAAAAAAACTAAAAACGTTGAAATGATATAAAATTGAATCCACAAATAATTATGTATATTTTGACATTATATTTTATATCATTTTGCATTTGTAGCCTGTTAAATGAATTATGTCAGTCAATTATTTAAAAAATTGAGAGCATTAGCATTATTTTTTCAAAAAAACGGGGAGGAGGCGGCACGAAAAGATTGCTATATATAACAAAATGCTATATTGGGCTAAGAAAGCAATTCGCATATTTACACCGACACGTTTAATTTTTGTTGTATTTTTTGGCAATCATTCTAATCAATGACTAATAGGTATTTTACACAAGTCAGATGATTGTGAAATTTCACAAAAATCGTATTTACGTATTTCTTTGTTAATCTGTTATTTTAATATAATTATATAGAATTTTTAACAACAAATGTTTCGGTGAATCAGTTCATTTCATGAAATATTTCTATTTAATGTAAAATTAGTATTACTATTCCTAATAGTAATCCTTGCGGATTTATTTTTAATAATAGTTTTTTATATGTGCCTTACTACGTACTCATACAATAAATTTTGATTATTTTTTGACCAAAATACTTTAATCGCGTATGATTTTTTTTTCATTTAGTTTTATATATGCTTATGTGTATGTATATGTATATATTGAAACTTCCAATTTTTTATTCGGACGTTGAAACATTTTTTTTAATGTTTTTTTGCATCATAGTCGAAATAAAAAACATTAAATAATTAAACTATTTATTTTGTATATTCGACACTGTGTGTCATCATTCAGCTGTTTAACAAATTCAACCCAGAAAAAACGCAGAACATAATTTTTAATGACGAGAAACAAACCAAAAAATAAAATATTAAATTAAAAGTAAAACAATAAAATTATGTAGTAACTACATGACTAACAAAAATATTTTTTTTTATTCTAAGTTTCTTAGTCATGTACCTACTACATAATTTTATGTAACTTTTAGTTTAATATTTTGTTTTTTTTTAAACAATGTCCTAAAAAATCTTCTGTTTTCTCCTGGTGTGAATTTGTTAAACATGATGAAGAAACATACATATAGTGTTAAAACGTACATGATAAATAGTTAATTTACTGCTTTTTATTTCAACTATTTGACTGCAAAGTTACTTATATTGTAACATTTCAAAAATATATTTCAACGTCAAACAAAAAATATAAAGTTTTTATATATAAAGTTACACAAGTTGTGAACTATGGTTCTATCTGCAAGTCCCTTCAGATTCAAATCGCGCTAGCAAAAGTGTGTTAAGGCCGCCATGCTCTCATTACTTGACGATTATGCCAACTCAAGGCTCAATAATATAGCAACGTTCAAATCAGGAACAAATTTCGATTATTTCCTAGTGTAAACTTACATGAACACACTGTAAAACTAGTTAAAGAAAAGTAGGTCAGGCCTGCTGCAATTTATGCAAAATTATTGAGATATTTCTATTTACTTCAACTTGTTGTCCAATGTCATTGAGTTGAATTGGTAATTTTCTTTGTGCAAAATTTGGTACAAATATGGTAAATAGTAATTGAATTTACTGGTACTCGTATATGAAAACTTTCCGGAATACAACAATTTTAATAGGCACAATTTGTACTTCCAATTACTCATTAAATAAGTGCTGATTATTATATGTATTAGCTACAAAATATTTAGCCCTTTCCTATGTTCTGCAATTTCTAGTTTTTTATAATGAGAATATTTCACGTTATAATTCATAAGCATATCTTTAATTTTAATATATGCACTTTCGATCGCGTGTGCAATGAAAGTATTGTTCTTTTATTTAATGAGTTCTTTTGCCAAGGTAATTTACAATATATTTGCAATGATTTTCTTTTAACCTCATTCTAATAAATTTTACTTTGTGTCTGATGTGTTTCAAAAATCAAGATGGCGCTATTATACACCCTCATAGAATCTTGCACCCTCGCACTTTGGAATGTCGGAGGGTGTGGTTTCGGTCTAGTTCGTGAGCGTTGACTTGTTCATCTGCAGGGATAGGTCATTGAACTTGGATAAATGTGATATACGTGTAGTTTTTCGTATATTAAAATGTAATATATTCTTTAGTTGATTTGAGGCAACGTTAGTTAGTAAAAAAAAATTCTTTGATTAGTTTTATATTATATATACAGAGGCGGATTTACAGTCGAGGCTAGAGCCCAGAGCGACAAAATTTAGAAAATGGAAATAAAAATTAAATACAATATTATTAACTAATTTTTCTTAATAGTCTTTTTTATTTCAAGAAATATAATTTATGCATTTGTATGAAAATTTATATGAAAACTATCGAAATTTATTTTTTTCGGAAATTAATAAATATGGTTTTGGGGGAGTCCATTAATCACATAATCGATTTTTTAAGGATTTTTGGACCCCCCTCCCCCTTAGTGATACATGGTGATATTCAAAGTTAGCCACCCCACCCACACGAAACATCACGTGTATTTTTAGTTACGAGAAAAAATTGTAAAATTAATTAAATTAATAATTAAAATCAATTAATAAATTTTTTTTTGAAAATGTTTGGATTTAAACAAAGTCAGATAAGGAATAAATACACCTGATATCATAGTATATCCCTCCCTCCCCCACGTGAAAAATAGACGTCCCCTTTTCTGAAAAATCCAAAATATTTTCGAATTATTCATGCCTTTTTTTATAACAAATTTTAATAGATCAATTAGAATGGAGGCAAATTTCAGTGTTAGGGCAGCATTTTAATTATGCTGATTACAGAATGTTAAAAAACCTATAAAGATATGCATTATGTATCCTTTCTTTTTTAAAAAATGTGTAGAAAAATAATAAAAATTGAGGAGCAAAAATTATTTACCTGCGATATACTGATCTATAAATCTATCACCAATTTTTCTTGACAAAAGCACTTGTAAAAAGAATTATTGAAAAATATTTAAAATTTTGACTTCACTTGGTAATTTTTATTATAACCATTTACTAAATGAAGACAACATTTTTAAAGACTTCAATAATTTTTTGTACAGATGCTTTTGGCAAGAAATGAGTGATACAAATTTATAGATCAATATTGAAGGTAAATAAATTTTGCTTCTCAATTTCTAATATTATTATACATTTCCTAAAGATCAGATACACAACCTAATATAATATATTTGATAATCATTATCAATTTTCTTATTTAAAAAAAATGTTTTTGACTAAAAATATCGATGAAGGATCTAGTTTCGAAACGTCTCAATTAATTATACTAAAACTTGTTTTTTTATTTGATTAATTGTTCAGAAAAGAAACAAATCATATGAATTATACTATTTATATTACATTCTGTAATTTTATATTAGCTACTGGCTCTATTATGGCTAACCAATTCTGGCCATAATATTAGCAATAATATTGAAAATTTTGTTCAATCTGCTAATTTTTCGGTCACTAAGTTGTCATTTATTCAAAAATAACCGGATGTTTTATCAGTTTGCTCGCGTCATTAGTCTTTCTTCTAAACATTTTTAAAATCATAATGCTATTCAGAGATAACAATAGTGCTTATGCTTTCATATTTAAATATTTTGAATTAACAATTACCGAGACGTCATCCAGTCTAAAAATATTATTAACTCTGCAATTCTATAATTGTTTTGCATGTTCTTGTTTTTAGTACGATTCAGAATATAATCCAAACTTGTTTGTGGCATTATTTAAACACGTGTTTAATATCTCAAAATTCAATTATTTTAACCATATGGTTTATAATTTTTATGTGTTCAAAATTGACCAAATATATGAAATATTTTATCCAAGAAGTTTTCATGATCTGTAGCAGAGCCGATCCTCCTCGTTCGGCCGAGAGTTACCGTGAATTTCCGAAGTGCTGGGGCATTGACCTGATTCGTGGAACATGCCGACCTCCGATGCACCCTAGATAGAATACTATAATTCTGTATATACATATATATGTATATAGTCAAATAATAGAAAAAGATTTGTGA